ATACCTTGTTTCCTTCTAAATTCTGTAGGAAAGTTGCGAAATTGACATGTGATACTCGCATTAGTATGGCACTTTTTCGAACATTCACCGCGTCAGACTACGTTGCTGCCCAGTGTCTTAGGTAAGGTAAAATTGGCAACAGTATGATTTACAACTCTGTTGCTGATCTTGTAATCTATGGTAGCTGTTTGCAACTTGCGAGCATCTCAAAATTAACAATAAAAAAAAGATTTAACACATAAAAAGTCCTCAACATTTATTATCTTTAAAGGGGAAAGTGCTTTCTTTTTTTTCGGAAAATAATGTCTTTTAGGGTGCGTTTGGTTCACGGAATGTAAGATTACCAGTGGGAATAAAAGATTACCAGAGAATAGGATTACTGGGAATGTTGTATTTTGTGTTTGGTTGGTTTAGCATGAATGTAAGATTACCGTGTTTGGTCAAAGGAATAAAAGATTATTGGAATGTATTTGACCAAATTGTCCTTATTATATTTATAATATTACAAATTGTAAAATATTTATATATTTTCTTTAAAAAAATTAAATTCATAATATTTATATACTTTTTTACAAAATTAAAAATATAAAAATGTTTAATGAAAGGGTAAAAAAAATTTAACCCCTAAATTTCATATAAAATTTTAATTATAGCCTTTTTTTTGTAAATCTAAAATAATTTAAGGATAAATTTATAATTTAACCTTCGTAGAATTTTTATTATTCAATTACAGAAGAAGGATATTTTGGAAAAAAAATAAAAATTTAAAGACATTTTAGTCCAAAACGCCGGTAATGTTACAATACCTAAGGGAAGGGAGGTAATGACATTCCCGGTAATATACCCCAAAAAATCTACTATTGGTAATAAAACATTACCGGGAATGAGATTCCCAGCCAACCAAACATGGGAATGTGGAATTCCCATCCCATGGGAATCCCACATTCCTTGAACCAAACACCCCCTTAGATGTTAGAGATATTTGTAATCTGGTTCCCACTTAAAATCTGCTCTTTAAAGATCTGCCATAGCACGCTGGATAATAGAATGTCGAGTTCTTATCATGGAACTGTAAAATTCTATTCTATTGAAAAGGGGAAGCATAATGAAGAGAAGCGAGGGGAATAAAGAAAGGGCGACGCATCATAAACCAAAAGAAGAATGATGCAACGAGGAAAAAAAAAGAGACCTAACTAGCTGGTTGGACTGAGAACTCGATGTTTTTCTGGCTCAATATTATGCATATAACAGGATTTTATTGAACGGGTAAAAAAACAAGTTCTTTTTTTAAATGATAAGATTTGAATCTTGCTTCTTAGTTTTATAATAAAAACCATACCACCGATTCAATTCATATGCTTATTAATTGTTTACTATATTTATTATTTATTTAACAATAAATTTAAATTTGTGTTTTTGAATATTTAAACATGTTTTTGATCAAACAGAGCAGTCCAATTGGTTCAACTAGTTGGATTAAAAACCAAAAATCTAATTGGTTTGCCATTAGTCTGGGTATTTTTTTACCTTGGAATGCTGAAGATGATCAAGGAAGGAGAGGGGGCATCATTGCATTGAAATCTTCGATTTGAATCTGAATAACTGAAAACGTAGTCTTTACTTATACAGGAAGTTTAATTAAAAGAAAGAGAAGAAACAAAGCAAAAAATGGCAGCATGTTGGGGGACATTCTTTGAAATTTCACAGTTTTATAATCTTGATCCAGCCTCTGATGAAAGCTTTTCCCTTCCCCAACCATGTCACTCGCTTAAAATTTGAATGCATTTGTTACTTTCTACTTGTCCTGACTTGTTTCAATCTTTCAGAAGAAGGATAATGCACCACCACATGGAGATCTTCAAGAAGGTTGATGTCATGGTGACCCCAACAACTGGGTATGTGAACTTAACCATTTAACCATTTTGATTAAATTCTTATCAGTGGGCTCATCTGTCATCACTATTTGCAACAAGTTCTGGTAATCAACTGATTCAAGCCTCTTCTTTGAAGAGTTTGACCTTCAAACAGATCTCCAGTTTGACTAAAACATGCCATTCTTGGCTTAAGTAGTTAATTATAGCACGTCTGTGACTAATTACCAAATCATTAGAAAAGTGGGAAATGGTGTAATGTAACTTGACAAATAGCAGATACCATTCTATTACATGCTGCAGGAACTAATTCTGCAAAAGCTCTCCTGGTTTAAGAACTAATTCTACTCCCATGCATAATTTGCATATGAGAATTTCTTTCAGTAATCTATGCACCAAGTTACACTTAATTTCTTTCTGTAATCTTTGCACCGAGCTTCACTTAATTTCTTTCTGTAACCTTTGCACTAAGTTACACTTAATTTCTTTCTGTAAGCTTTGCACTAAGTTTCACTTAATTTCTTTCTGTAACCTTTTCACTAAGTTACACTTAATTTCTTTCAGTAATCTTTGCACTAAATTACACTTTTCTTCTTTGTTTTGGGGGGCACAACAGCATGACAGCACCAAAAATACCACCTAGTGCTCTGGAAAATGGAGAGTCAAACATGCAGGTTACAGGTTTGTCATCCATGTTATTTCAACTCTTCATTTTTCTTGAAATAACCATATCCAACTCCCATAAATGCATAACCAGACAAGGGAATGGGGAGATGATTCTCTAAACACACGGAAAATCTTAAAACTTGCTTTGGACACATACTAATACATGACTCTAATACCCCTAGTTGGAGTAACATACCTTGGCATCATCATACAGAGGTATATATGAGCTTACTCTTTTTATCTTTTATACTGTGGTTCACTTTGTTATAGGCTACCTTATGCGGTTCATTATTGCTGGTAATCTTCTTGGTCTTCCTGCCCTTACTGTCCCTGTAAGTGATATGCTTTTCTTTTCTTGATATATAATATTAAATTTAACAATTGACAAGAGAAAAGGGTCAAAATTCGAATCTAATAATTCTGTTTGGAGCAGACCTTCCCAAACTTATTAAATTCTGTTGTACAACCATCAGAACTCTTGGTTCATTTTCTTTCTTCTTATGCTGATTCCAGGTTGGTTATGACAAACAAGGACTTCCCATAGGTTTACAACTAATAGGCCGTCCATGGGGTGAAGCTACAATTCTACGTTTGGCTTATGCAATCGAGGTATAAACAAGTTTATGTTCTTGAAAGAGAATGCTCTGAACCCGTATTCGAGGTTGCATAACTAATTTGAAAGCAATCGTCTCATGTTTCCAGGAACTTTGTGCCAAATCTAGGAAGAAGCCTGCTTCATTCTATGACATCTTAAAGGCCAAGTAAAAGTCTTCATGGACTATGTTTTATTGCAGATCCCTGTGTTGGCTCTTCAGAATCACCAATAATGATGTGTCTCTGAACATTGTTATCGTATTCGATATTCGATATATGAATAAGCTATATCTGCTATCTTTCTGGCAAACCATGCCTGAAAGAAACTGATGATCTATTTGATTTAACTACAATGTTATGTAAAAACTACCACCTGTTATTCTGTTTTAGGATACCTCCTACAGTTGTACTTACCCATTAAGCTACATGGATAGGACTTCTGATAAACAAATAGTTGTCATGTATCGGATATTAAAATTTCACGTGTATAATTAAATGAAATCAAAGTTCTGTGTCACACTTCGTGTTCAATTGATGTTTTCAATTTGCTCAGTAAAGGTAAATATTTTCCATGCCAAGAGTTGGGCACGAATTCTGTCAAATACTTCAATGTTTAATCATTCAATCATGATTTGACTGTTTGCTTATAGTTTAAGAGTTATTTTTCGAATTAAAACTGCAAGGGCGATAGTAGGGGAAATGGAATTTGGATTAGGGATTTTGGAGATTTGAGGTATTTTTATAATTTTAAAGAAAATAAGATTTTTTTTATTAAAATAATAATTTTTTTTTGATTAAGTTAAGATGATTACAAAATAATATATGTTTTAAATACTCTCAATCATTTAACAATGAACACTAAATCTTCCTCACAATCGCTGATGTTCAAATCCTTACGATTACCATTTGACAATGAATGATTCCTACAACCATTAAAATAAGTTTACTATATTTTCCATGGATGTGGCGTACAAAACATTTAAAATAATAATTGAAAAATTATTAGGCACTCACGTTGAAAAAAAAAACTTTAAATATCTCAAATGTATAGATAATATAATTTGACTATTTATCTTTATCGTGATGTCTAACGTACGAAAATCTTAATATACGATTAAAAAAATCCGTTACCGAAAATATTAATATTTTTTTAATATTTTCGATAAAGCGTCACTTAAAACATTAATTTTTTTTCTATCGAAAATGTTGATATTAAACTCTACCTAAAATGTTTAACATTTCCGATAAAGTGCTATCTAAAACATTATTTTTTCCTACTAAAAATGTCAATATTGGACGCTGTCTAAAATGTTATTTTTTCTACTGAAAATTAAGTAGAGAAATTAACATATCTGATAAAACATAATATTTTAGGTAATATTTTACTATAAATATTAAAAAAAATATTAAAATTTTCAATATAATCTTTTTCTTAACCGTATATTAAAATTGTAATACACCATAACTACCCATCTACCCATCTTTATCAAGTCTAAGGGGCTGTTTGTTTACTTTAGAATGATTAAGCGATGAATGATTCAAATGCTGAATGATTCAGAGGCTCTGTATGAATTAACTCTGAATATGACATACTGTTTGATAATAGCTCTGAATCATTCAGAATGTACTTCTGTGCTGAATCATTCAATACTGTTTTGTTGAATCAGTCAACACTAAATCATTCAGATGTGCAAAATAAACACGTTAAATGCTGAACGGTTCAACATTCAACACTGAATAATTCTATTAAGAGACAAAATAACAGTCCCTAAGTTTCACTACAAAATCTATTTTTATTGTTTTTTTATTTTTTTATTATCAATCTTAAGACAGGAAAATATTTTGTGTAATATGCAGCTCCAGCTTTGATTTTTGTCAGAAGAAGAAACAGAAACAGAAGCAGAGAATAAAAACAGAGCCAAATGTGTGGGTTTCAGCCTTTCAGTCCACAGCAAAAGCTCCTCCATTTTCACCTGCTCTCTTCACTCTGATAATGTCTTCTCCATGCATTTTGGTCCCTGACCTAAAAACATTTCCTTGTGTTCTCCCAATCATGGATCTCATCTCATGAGTGACACTTCTCCTCCTCAGGCCAGCTTCTTTCTTTCATGCTTCTTATTCTCCATTTTGTGTACTATGTATTGCCTGATTTTGAGGTTTCTAAACATGGGTTTGGCTCCTTCTACAGTTGTTGATTTGTTTTTGCATCTTTAGTTGCTGCACCTGCACTGCTCGTCCATGTTTTGTATTTAACTTCCATTGTTTAGTGTTTAGATTCTTTAGTACTTGGTTTCTCTTTAAAGTTCATATCTTTGGGTTTTCCGAACTAATCTGATCTGCCTCCTTGAAAGAAAGTTTTTGCCGGCATTTCCTTGTTTAGTTTCAGTGATGAAAATTTCATTTTGATTTTGGTGTTGTCTCGTAGGAATAGTAATGCTTGAAGTTTCAGTAGTTTGTTATAAGATCCGGGGTGTAATTATATGTTCATTTAGACCAATTATGGCATTTTAGCATTGAGGACTAAGAGATAACTTCCATTGGGATCATCAAGCTGATAGATTATTAGCTTTCACTAATGAGTCAAAACCCTTTTACATTTTTGAAATTGTTTGCAGGTTGGAGCTGAGTATTGATTTATTTTCCTATATCACTGAAAATGCAACCAAAACATGGCTGGCACTCTATTATGCCTCTTCGTTTCCGAGGAAGTTCCTCTGCTTGGTTTTGCATGTTTCCGAATGTAAAGTCGGCTGACTGCAGCCCTGGCGATGCTCCGGTGTACCTAAATGTGTATGACTTGACAAATGCTAATGGCTATGTTTATTGGGCAGGTCTTGGTATCTTTCACACTGGGGTTGAAGGTTAGCTTTGTTTCTTTGTTCATCGATTTTCATGGACATTTCTTTTGAATGAAAGATGAAACTGTTCAAATGATCTCATAAAGTCATTGTGGTAGTTTGATAATTTCCATTCTCGTTCGGTTTCAATGCAAAAGATGTCAGTGATTGATTCTTCTTTTATTTCTGAGCGCGATCACATCAGCACCGGGGAAGCATAAGGTTGTTGTCTATAGTTAGGCCGGGACGACGGGAACAGACAGTGGATCGGTGCACATTATTTTGTATCAGAAAATTAGCATTAGCCTTCAGATTGTTCATTGAATGAACTTATTTGTCATAAAACAAAACATTATATCGTTATGCATTTTTTTTCTTTTATCCTCATGATGTTGAAAGTGGTTTCTTATTATACCTGTGGGTGCTTTCAGTCCAAGGTGTGGAGTATGCTTTTGGAGCTCATGACTACCCAACGAGTGGTGTGTTCGAGGTTGAACCTCGACAGTGCCCCAGCTTCAAGTTCAGGAAATCGATTTTCATGGGAACAACATGCTTGGATCCTGTCCAGCTGAGAGAGTTCATGGAGCACCAATCTGCTAGCTACAACGGTGACACCTATCACTTGATATTGAAGAACTGCAACCATTTCTGTGAGGATATATGTTACAAGCTGACAGGCAACCATATACCAAAATGGGTGAATCGACTTGCAAGAATCGGTTGGTATTACAACACTTGGAGCCTAAATTTTTTTTGGGTCAACATATCTTTGCTTAAATGCTTCAGCATATATGTGGATGTTAATGGGGCCTAAAATAATTGGTCTTCACCTTAGTCTTTTATTGATCCTCCTTGTAGGTTCATTGTGCAACTGCATACTCCCTGAGGCTCTTAAAGCATCTGCAATGCTCCACGACCCCGACAGCGAAAAGAAGAGACTGAGAAGTGCTTTGAGTTGCTTAACATCAATCTCAATGCCTCACAAGGAAGTATCAATGTCTTCGCTCTTTTTGCACTCTCATTATAAAGGCTGTCTACCGCCATGGGAGTTGAAGAGATCTAAAAGCAGCTCATAGAAACAACAGTGAGAAACGGAAGCTTTGAAGCACTGGCGTAACTAGAATGGCCAAAATCTGTAATAGTTTCTTCTTTTTCAATGTCAATGATGGAGGTTTTATTTGATATGCAAACTTTGTATTTTTTTTAACCACCTGTATCTGATCTATTGATCAACTATTTCAGATTAAATTTTACATAGACCCATTATGAGGACGACCCTTCTTACCCGCAAACTTGTATTTTGTATTCATAATAGTAGAACCACTGAGATTGTTCCATACCTACCATTTGTTCCGGGTTTGGTGCAAAGAATCTAAAATTAACCCTGGTAATTTTATTTTCTCTAATGATATTCCCATGTATTTTCAAGATTTTGTAATTAGTAATAGAGGGATAATCTCTCTCACATCTAGTTAATAACTCTTATTATACAAAAAAGTGATTAATAAATCTTTCATTTCATAGAATAATGTGACATCGTGAATAATTTATCACATTTTTAGTGATTTTGATTCTATGGAATAATAATAACAATAATTTGTGAATAAGATTTTATTATGATGATGTTAAAATATGTTATAAGTTTTGTATCTATTATATTTAAAATTTAGTTTAATTCATCTAACGATTTGAAAGGAGTGTTGTTCTTAGTAGAGGTTCTGGGTTCGAGCAATTGCGTCCGCTGGCGGAGCCGGTCTATTTGACACCCCAATTTTTTGAAAAAAGTATTTTTTTATAAATTTAACACAAAATAATTAAAATAAAATAAATATATATTTTAAAAGAATATGATTACCTTTAAATATAAACTAACACCCATTATTCATTTCCATCCACTTAATTTTTTTTATACAATTTCTAATTTTGACACCCCAAAATAAATTTTCTAGCTCCGCCCTTGGCTGAGTCTACAAGGTGTGTATATTGTTAATAGTTAAAAAGACTATGAATATATATTATCTTATAATAATATTGAACTATTAAAATATTAAATTATCCTATTTTAATTTTTAAGAATTTAATCTCTTTAATTTTCAGATTTTCTTAAATACAAAAGGTAAACAGACTATTTTTTTTTAGTAAAAGAGGATTAAATTTCAGATGTTCGAAAAATATAAAAACTTGGAGTATATTTAATCTCCTCCTCGATTGAGTAAAATTAACATAATCTAATATGTAAAACAATAGGAAAATGGGGGTTAGCTACGAGCAATAAAAAAACAGAGAGCTATTGAAGGGAAAAAAACTAAAGGGGAAAAGGTCATGGCCTCTCGATCATGTCGTTGCTTTTCGTATTTAAGGCCTTTTAATCATCATAAGTTAGAGTTTCGGTCTTAGTCTTGCACGTTTTTAGGAATCAACCCTTGTCACTAAGGGTTTAAATGTCTTGGTGTTGATGGTCATGTGTTTGTTTCAAGGCATGTTACTTTTGACGAATGACATTTTCCTTTTGCCGAAACAAGGCTTGGTAAACATTAGACTTATCCATCAATGGTGCCTCAATCACTTGAGGTAGTGACTGATATGAGCAAGCTTGATAAACATAGCACTTCTGCTCATGCTCCTGCTAATATTAGTGTTCATGCAGAGGCTACTGCTGCCTCCCTGGTTCATCCTGTGTCCGTAGATGATCATAGGTCTGTTGATGGTTTTGCCAGCAGTCCAACTGTCTCACTGAATGATGTTGTTACTGCTGTTTGTTTTGATGAGGGTCCTGGTGTCCAATCTGGTCAATCGGATGACATGTTGGGAACTAATCGACATCCTATGATGACTTGTAGAAAATGTGGGGTTTTTAAACCCAAAGTTCACGTGGCATGCATGGATATTGTTGTACCAACCACGATAGGTGAAGCTTTTTAGTCTTCAAAATGGACTGAGGCGGTTCATGCTGAGTTTAACGCTCCTAAGTAGAATAACACATGGACGCTTGTTGAGGTTCTTAAAGGCCTTAATATTGTGGGTTGTAAGTGGTTGTTCAAACTAAAAAAGATTCTTGACGGCTCTATTCATCGTTACAAGGCTAGGCTAGTGGTGAAGGGATACTCTCAGGAGTCGGGTCAGGATTTTGTCCACACATTCAGCCCCGTTGTTAAGTTTTCAACGGTGTATGTGCTCCTTGCCATGGAAGTTACCAAGGGTTGGTCATTGAGGCAACTAGACGTTAACAATGTCTTTTTAAACGGTGATCTAAGTGAAGAGGTGTTCATGAAACAACCCCTGGGTTTGAGGAATATAGCTCGGATGGTTCTCCTCTAGTGTGTAAACTCTACAAGGCGTTGTATGGTCTTCGGCAGGCACCGAGAAATTGGCATGACAAGATTAAAGGTAGCTTATTTGATCTTGGGTTCGAAGCCTCGAGAGTTGATACGTCATTGTTTATACGAAGAAGGAACGGTGCGTGTACATATATTTTGGTCTATGTGGATGATATCATACTTAAGGACACTCTGATGCTGAGATTGATGGTGTCATTCAAGCTCTCCACGGTCAATTTTCGCTAAAGGATCTTGGCCCTCTTACCTACTTCCTTGATATAGAGGTTAAAAGGATTAGTGCCACTCTTTCCCTTAGTCAAAGGAAGTATATACTTGAGTTGCTTGAAAAAACGAATATGCTCAAGGCCACACCCACACCTACTCCAATGGTTGCTGCATCCAAGTTGGTGGAGCAATCTGGTAACCTGCTTGCTAATGCTAGTGAGTATCGTAGTATTGTTGGGACTCTACTTTATGTCTGTCATACTCGCCCGGATGTAGCGTTTAATGTACACAAAGTTGCGCAGTTTATGCATGCTCCATGTACTGCGCATCTTGTGGCTGTCAAGAGGATTCTCTATTATCTGGCTGGCATGCTCGATCATGGTCTAGTTTTCTCTCCTAATGTTGCTGGTTTAAAAGTTACAGCCTTTGTTGATGCTGATTGGGGTGGTGATGCTGGTGATCGCCGCTCTATGTCTGGTTATGGTGTATTTGTAGGCAGTTGTCTTGTTGCTTGGAGCTCGAAGAAGCAACAAACAGTGTCTCGATCAATGATGGAGGCCGAATATCGCAGCATAGCTGATGTTGCTGCTGAGGTTACTTGGGTTGGTGCTCTATTAGCTGATCTAGGAATGGATGTCTGCAGTGAACCTGTCATTTGGTGCTATAATACCAGTGCAGTGGCGTTGAGCGCGAATCCTCTTTATCATGCTCGTTTGAAGCATGTTGACCTGGATATTCATTTCGTCCGTGAAAAAGTGTATGCTCATCAGCTTCGTGTTAGCTATGTTCCAGCCAATTGTCAAGTGGCTAATGGCCTAACGAAACCACTGACCAAGGCTGCGTTTGAAGTTTTTCACGAAAAGATCTGTGTGTTGCCTTGTTAACATGCAGAAAGAGCTTGGAAGGAGCAGGGAGAATATTGGGAATGAAGTAGATTCCACGTGTGCTGTTAGTTGCACGGTTAGCTTGTTGTTGAAGATTTGTTAGGGTGTCAGTTAAGTCTAACCTACTTATCTCTGCAAGCTAGCTGTGCACCAGCAGATGCTATAAAAGGAAGTGTAATCTTGTGCTCTAGTGCGTGAATATAATCACAGAAGTTTCTGTTAATTGTGTGATTTACGTAGTTTCTCAACACTCTCACACCATATATTGACCAGTAGCTCTTTATCCAAGTTCGATGTAATTAGTGTAAGTTGACCCGAGAGATTTATGGACCGATGCGAGCTTCACATCTTCCTTGGAATATGAGCTTAGCTAATTTGAGCTCATTTTTAGCAACATTTTTAGATTCCTTTTAACTCTTAGATATATTAGTAATCTATTATACTCTTATTTATGAAGTACAAGAAGTTGGGGAGTATTCCAGTGTTAAGGGGAAGAAAAAATTTGGTGGAAGCAGAATAAGAAGCTTCGTTTCGAGTTCAAATATTACGGTGGTATACATTCAACTTCGAAGTGCTATATATATTTCCTAAATGTGATGTTTTGTTGTTTGTTTAAGCATGTTGAGTATTTTAAGTGTTTATTCTTAGTTTGGATTCAAATCGTGTCATTTGTTTTTAACACGTGTTAAATTAATGTTAAATGACCCTAACTAATCCATATCAGCTTTAGAAATGAAGTAGGGTTTAAAGTAAAGAATTTAGAGAGGATTTGGAGTGTTTCTCGAACTTGAAAATGACAATTTATGGGTTTTGATATCGGTATTTGAAGAATAATATCGATACCCTTTGAATGTGTGAAGGAATCTGGATAAAAATGGCCTAGTGTATTGATATTGTTCATGATGATATCAATATTATTCTTAGGGTATTGATATTGGGTGATTTATCAAAATTTCAAAGCTAAAAATGATATCGGTACTTGAGGATAGTATCGATACTCGTATTGAGGTATCGATACCCATATGAATTTATAGAACATCGAGCCTAAAATTAGAACAAACATTCAAGGTGAGTATCGATACCCTAAATTTGAGTATTGATAACTCTATGTCTAGTATTGATACTTCATGTTTCGAAAATCCAAGTTTGACTTTCAAATTTAGTGCAAGACTAAGAGATGATCCGTAATTAGTGATTATGCCTATAAGAGAGCTAAGAGTGCTATTGTGATTAAGAATACCTTCAAATGTGAGAAATTACTAAAATACTCTTACGTGGATAAAATTACAAAAATATCCTAAGTACCAAAAATAAAAGTAGGAAAAGAATTCGAATCGAGTAAGACATCTTTCAAATCTAGTGATAATTAGTGTGAAAAGTGGAAATGTTAGTGTTCAAATGTCATAAGTTACTAACGACCGATATGCATCGCTTAGTCGTTCTAATATTAAGAACGTGCCTGGATTTGACGTGAGATGACATGTCCTCATTCGACCGTTGTGAATTAATGTGTGTTGCGAATCTTCTATGGATGGCTTTATGTGAAGAATACCATTATGAGGCTTACAAGCCTTGACGTGTGTTGTATTCCTCATGTATGTTTAGCCTGAAGTTATGTGAAACTATGCAACCTCTTTTTGAGGCTTCTAGAGGAAATTGTTACCGAGACTAAGTGAGATCGAGTTCTAACATCTTTGACCCGGTTTAGTCAAAACTTGGATCCAAGATGAAACCGGAGAACGGAAACCGTATTCATTCCTACATTCTTCA